GCGAGTCCCGGTATTACCTTCCCTTTATATTTTCTGACGGCACTTGGCCTTAGGGACATTTCGAATTCTCTTCGGCGAAGGCCCATGGCCTTAGAGGGTATTATTTTGATTTTGTCGGAATATTGACCCGTCGTTGTTCTATCGGGGTCGAACTCTTCTTCTTTGGCGAAAGCCCTTGACCGTACAATCGATTCGGACGAAGCCGAAGGTTGATTTGGACTAGGTCGAATATAGTTTCGGACGAGGCCGAATGTTGTTTCGGACGAGGCCGAAGGTTGATTCGGACGAGGCCGAATGTTGTTTCGGACGAGGCCGAATGTTGATTCGGATGGGGCCGAATGTTGATTCGGACGGGGCCGAAGGTTGTTTCGGACGGGGCCGAATATTGTTTCGGACGGGGCCGAATGTTGTTTCGGACGAGGCCGAATGTTGATTCGGACGAGGCCGAAGGTTGATTCGGACGGGGCCGAATGTTGATTCGGACGAGGCCGAAGGTTGATTCGGACGGCCGAATTCTTTATTTTGGCGATGGCCCTTGGCCGTAGGGGTGTTATTTCGAGCTTGTTGAAATGTTAACCCGTCGTGGTTTGAACAAGGTCGACCCCCTCCTTTTTGGAGATGGCTCTTGGTCGTAAGGTCGGCCTATTCTTTTTTGGCGATGGCCCTTGGCCGTAGGGGTGTTATTTCGAGCTGGTCGAAATGCTAACCTGTCGTGGTTCGAACGAGGTCGAACTCTTCTTTTTTGGCAATGGCCCTTGGCCGTAGGGGTGTTACTTCGAGCTGGTCGAAATGTTAACCTGCCGTGGTTTGAACAAGGTTGACCCCTCCTTTTTGGCGATGGCTCTTGGTCGTAAGGCCGACTTATTCTTTTTTGGCGATGGACCTTGGCCGTAGGGGTGTTATTTCGAGCTGGTCGAAATGTTAACCCATCGTGGTTCGAACGAGGTCGAACTGTTAAACATTGATGGCGAAGGCACTTAGCCTGAGTCCCATTTCGAGCGAGGTCGAACTGTCAAACTTTGATGGCGAAGGCACTTAGCCTGAGTCCCAGTTCGAGCGAGGTCGAACTGTCAAGGTTTGATGGCGAAGGCACTTAGCCTGAGTCCCAGTTCGAGCGAGGTCGAACTGTTTATCTTTGATGGCGAAGGCACTTAGCCTGAGTCCCAGTTCGAGCGAGGTCCAACTGTCAAACTTTGATGGCGAAGGCACTTAGCCTGAGTCCAAGTTCGAGCGAGGTCGAACTCTTAACCTTTAATGGAGAAGGCACATAGCCTGAGTCTCAGTTCGAGCGAGGTCGAACTATTAATCTTTGATGGTATAGCCTGAGTCCCAGTTCAAACGAGGTCGAACTGTCAAACTTTGATGGCGAAGGCACTTAGCCTGAGTCCCAGTTCGAGTGAGGTCGAACTGTTAATCTTTGATGGCGAAGGCACATAGCCTGAGTCCCAGTTCGAACGAGGTCGAACTGTCAATCTTTGATGGCGAAGGCACTTAGCCTGAATCCCAGTTTGAGCGAGGTCGAACTGTTAAACTTTGATGGCGAAGGCACTTAGCCTGAGTCCCAGTTCGAGCGAGGTCGAACTGTTAAACTTTGATGGCGAAGGCACTTAGCCTGAGTCCCAGTTCTAGCGAGGTCGAACTGTTAAACTTTGATGGCGAAGTCACTTAGCCTGAGTCCCAGTTCGAGCGAGGTCGAACTGTCAAACTTTGATGGCGAAGGCACTTAGCCTGAGTGCCAGTTCGAGCGAGGTCGAACTGTCAAACTTTGATGGAGAAGGCACTTAGCCTGAGTCCCAGTTCGAGCGAGGTCGAACTGTTAAACTTTGATGGCGAAGGCACTTAGCCTGAGTCCTAGTTCGAGCGAGGTCGAACTGTCAAACTTTGATGGCGAAGGCACTTAGCCTATGTCCCAGTTCGAGCGAGGTCGAACTGTCAATCTTTGATGGCGAAGGCACTTAGCCTTAAACTTAGTTCGAGCGAGGTCGAACTCTTCAAAATTTGATGGCGAAGGCACTTAGCCCTAAACTTAGTTCGAGCGAGGTCGAACTATCAAACTTTGATGGCGAAGGCACTTAGCCTGAAACCCAGATCGAGCGAGGTCGAACTGTCAAAAATTGATGGCGAAGGCACTTAGCCTGAGTCCCAGTTCGAGCGAGGTCGAACTGTCAAAATTTGATGGCGAAGGCACTTAGCCTATGTCCCAGTTCGAGCGAGGTCGAATTGTTAATCTTTGATGGCGAAGGCACATAGCCTGAGTTCCAGTTCGAACGAGGTCGAACTGTCAAACTTTAATGGCGTAGGCACTTAGCCTGAGTCCCAGTTCGAGCGAGGTCGAACTGTCAATTTCTGATGGCGAAGGCACTTAGCCTGAGTCCCAGTTCGAGCGAGGTCGAACTGTCAATCTTTGATGGCGAAGGCACTTAGCCTTAAACTTAGTTCGAGCGAGGTCGAACCTGTCGATCTTTGATGGCGAAGGCCTTAGCCTTAAAGGGTTCCCTGGGGGAGTCCCAATTTGCTTAATTTTGCTTGCATTGGAGAATATGATGTATTTCCTGTTCGTGTATCCGGGAGAATGCTCCTGCTTCTATTCCGCTTAGAAAAATAGTCAGTTAAACTAAATGAAATCGTTCGTTACCTCGATTTGATCAGTCGACGAGTGGAGAGGAGTGGCCACGTTCACTGCTCTGGTTATTCTTTTAGTGGCCGCTACCAGTTTGGCAAGGCCCCCTGTTTTCGATGTCTTGTGCTCGGGGTATCTGGTCGAGTTGACACTCGTCAAACTCGGGCAGTAGCTTATCAATTCTTGCCTGATATTTTGTAGCCTTTGTTCTTATTTGGAAAGTCCCTGTGACTTGGTTGACGACGGATTGTGAGTCGTATAGAAGGATGATTCGCCATGCTCCATACTTGAGAGCTAGTTTCGGTCTTCTCAACCGTGGTAATTTGGATTAGTGTAGACTGTCTATGCCACATTCTTTGAAACGCGGCCCTTCCTTAAATCGATCCGATCCGATCTTGCATGAATATAAAATGTCATAGATATGCTAGTATGAAATAAGCACGTAGCCAAGGATGGAAAGTTGTTCAGTAGTTGGACGATTGTTCGACATTATCTTAAGAGTAGCAAGAATAATGATAGGAGCAGTAGTATAGATTTGGCATTTCTTTTTTTAATGCAGAAGTTTCACATTGAATGATATTTGCCTCTTTTGGTAAAAGTATGTGTAGCGCCTTTTTTCTATCACAGAGGCAAGGACATCGGCTTCAACTATTTCACCTTGACCGTAAAGTCCATAGATAGAGTTGTCATTCGGTGACGTGATGACATCAATCGATCCGCGTGTGATAGAGTGAATTGAAATTTCAGGGCGTGTTTATGCGCACTTAGGTTTTGTTGAGAGCATTTTGGCACTGTCCCTGTATTTATAAGCAACGTGAGCTGCTGCCGACCACAAAGTCATAAGGTGGCACAACATATAGCGTGGAAGAGACATGGAACTACTTCCATCCCCTATCACAAATTTTTTACATAAAGCATGATATTTAAACATGGCCCCTACCATATTACTATTATTTTCTTTTTGGATTTTTTTGTGTGTTTTGCAAATATACGCGTGGATTAGTTTGATCAACAGTGATTCAGGCCTACTTGTGCGCAGGCACAGATGGGCAACTTTGTCAGCCATACAGAAAAATATCCACTAGTATTTTTTGCTTAGATTTCTTAGTTCTCTTTTTGAGCAGCAATCCCGAATAGTGACGCTACTCTACAAACTTGCTAGAATTGAATTTTAGATCTAGAGAAAACTATAATTTTAACTAGGAAATCCCCACAGACGGCGCCAAATTGTTTGACTCAAAAGTTGTTTAACACTTTTTAAGCAAATCAATCAAATAGATGAAGGGGTAAATCCTAGTTAAAGATAATTAACTCTAGATCCAAGACGAATAATATGAGTAGAAAAACATAGCCGAGTATAAATATTGGGCGTGATTATAGCCAGATTTAATAACATAAAGAAAGATGCATTGAATAACATTAAATGACAATAAAATGTAGATAAAGGAAAAGATTCACCCGATCTTGAGTTAGTCGGATCTTCTTTCATTTGATAAAGATGAATGATAGACAAAATACAAGAACCATTGGACCCTTTTTGGATCTGATGAAGGTTTTGGATCACAGATCCTCTTCTCTCTTTTGAGAGATGTGTTTACATATTTTCTAGAAAGAGGGAGAGGGAGATCGAGCGAGAGCCCCCCTTTTGGGAAGTCCTCCCCTCCTATTTATCAGGGGGATATCCATAGAAAATCCTAAAAAAGGATACAATTTAGAGGGAATATTCGGTAGAATATGCCTTTTGAGTATTCCAAAGCAAACTAGCAGTTTCATGACTGTCCGTCCTCGGCCTGTCCGACCACGACCTTATTGATGACGGTCCGACCTTGGCTTTATTGATGACGGCCCGACCTTGGCTTTATTGATGACGGCCCGACCTTGGTCTGTCCGACCTTGGCTTTATGTATTCCTGTGCCGAATTTCTCTGGTCTAATTTTGACCCATACAATTGACTATATTGTTTTCTTGGGAATGTACTCCCTAGCACTGTGTTGAAGATGCTAAATTTCAATTAACTGTTATTTAAATTAAGGGCAAGCTTACAATAGCGATTTTGATAAATAGATAATGTTGTATTTGTCTACTGAGTTAACCAATAATGTCCTCTTTGGAAAGAGATAAATTAGAAAAAGATAAATATGTTAAAATATTTTACATCTTGACACGTTCTTTTATAGCTACTCTGACATCTTGCTTTTGTTTTACTACTATTTTTGAATATGGTTGGTTCAACTGGTTATAGATCAAAATCTATTACCGCCCGAAAAATGTATTCATCTTTATTTCTATCGGTGTATAGAATGTGTTGTCTGGCACTGATTACAAGCAATCTTACTAAAGATACTAAGTATTAAAATTATAAATAACAATGTCCCTTGAAATAACTGTTCCAAATGTAAATTCAAAAGGGTATGATATGTAGTTATTTTGTGGACTCCTCCGATTCTTTGCTATATCTCTGTAAAATCACAGCCTAATCAATTAGCCTGCCCGTGAAGAGCTGTTAAACTTGCACGAAAATCAAATTGTCCCCAGCATTGGCTGTTTATGCGGGTTAATACTAGTTCTAACATGCGGCCAAAAGGAATCTAGCTAGAAACCATCAAAATACCAAAGTTAAAAATGACAACAAATATTCTACATAAATGCACGAATTAACCTTGAGTTGATACTTGAAACTATCAAATGGTGCGAGAGTTAGTCGCGTCGGCGACCATAGTGGATCCTCAGGAGGATTGATCGTTTCTATTGGCTTAGCGAACGTGCTCCTATCAATTGTTCAAGTGAATATTTTAACTGGATTTCCATACACATATAATCTGATTCCTTAACTTGTGCAACAAACACCAAGTAAGTGCGGAAAGGATGAAACAGATTTTCCTTACTTAAAAATGTGTTATTTCAGCATTGAATATAATGCCCTGGAATTGATTTTCCTGTAATAATAAAAGATACAATTAGGATACCCAAATATGTATAACGTGAATAATTTTTTTCTAAAATCCATGGGTTTCTTGCAGTTTTCTAAGCAAATATATGAGCAAACAGTATATTAGTTCATTTATTGCTGGCAATTTATGAATTTAATAAAAACTACCTTTTGATCCTGCATAATCATAAGTTGATACCTTTTCTGTCTGCCTTTATCAACTACTTGAACTCTGCAGGTGCATTCTTCTATTTTCGAAGTAATTGCGTTGACATGTTCAGATAATCTGCAATTACAACATGTTACAATATAACAGTATGTTTGAACTCCGATATAGCACACAACAGCCATGAAATTGCATAATCAAAAGTATGTGAAGAACACATAAAATCACGAAATTCTAAAAATCAGCAAGGTTAGAGCTTAAAATGCACTTTTACCACCCAATTTAACAACCAGCCATTGAATTGCAAAATGAAAATCCATGCAGAGAACCCAAAAGATAGGGAAAAAATTTAAAAAGGGGAAAAGGATCAGGGAAAATCAGAGAGAAACGGGAGAAGAGAACCTGCAAAAATCATTGAGCTTCACAGTTACCCAAAAGAATACAAAAGGAAAAGAGAACTTGCAAAAATCATTGAGCTTTACAATTACCCAAAAGAATACAGAAGGAAAAAAAAGAGAAAAGAGAAGAAGATATAAGAAGAATGAAGATAATAAAGAATCACTACAAGAAAATTGCTGATTACCTGGGGATTTTCCAAGGGATAAGATGAACAAATCCGCAGGTACTTTGATTTTCTGCAGAATTTCCTACCAAATTAAATCCGTTGAAAAAACCTTCGTAGGTAATTATTACCTGGGAATTAAAATATCCCTAGGTAATCTACCTAGGGATTTTATATCCCTATGTAACTTACTTGCGGAATTATCAGCGAAACTTCTCAAAAAAATTGCAATAATATTTTGGCGAAAATTCGTAAAAAAGGGATTTTTCTTGGAAATTTTTATAGGAAGAAATCCGCATGTAATTCCCCATGAAAATCCTTAAGTAAGTCCGTAGGAAATTGAGGTGAAAATTTATGGACGAAAGGGATTTTCTTGTGAATATTTCCGCAGGAAAATTCTTTGGAAAGCCCCAGGTATAATCCGCAGGAGCACACTTTCGCAAGAAAATTCCCATAAAAATGTTGCATGTAAAACCCCAGCAAAGTTCCCAAGTAATAATTCGTAGGTAAATCACCATGTAAGATTTCCAATGAAACAGAAGAATTATTTGAAATCCCCAAGAAAATTCATAAGTGATATTTTCGTAGAAAAATTCGTATGTAATATTGGTAAAAAATCCCCATGTACTTTTTTTATAGGAAAATTTACCGTATAAAATTGACGCGTTTGAAAAGATTTTCCCATGAAAATTCGCAAGTAATCTATACATTTTCAGGAAGTTATTTTTAATTTATTCTAGCTTATATTCGTACAATTCAATTATATTATCATAATCATTCAACACACGTCTAATATAATTATAACAAAGAAAAAACATAATTCATAACGTTAATGTAATATCATATAATCCTTAATCAAAAACCAAAATGTCTCAAATGTGAAACTAAATAGTCTAATGAACATCTCAATCAAGGTTATAGTCACTTTCATTCACATACCAGGGTTAGAACTGATTGGCACATGCCCATGTTGTCCAGCCAAAGGCCCAATGGCCTAATCCTATTCTCTTTTGGTTTCCAATCCTATTTGGAATTGGATTCGGTTTATTCCTATTTTGAGTGGGTTTTGGCTTTAAGAGAAAGCACCACTCATGATTTATAAATAGGACAACCTTGGAGAATTATTCTATGCTCATTGATACAAGTCTTTGAAAGACTTAAGCACATAAGAGTGGGTTTTGAGAGAGCTTTCATCAAGAGAGAAGAGAGAAAAAAAGTATTTGTTTTGCTGCAGATTTTTATTCCGACCAGCCAACTTCAAATCACGTTTTCCGATTCGTTAACCGTTGGATCGGGCTGAAATTTTGACTGAGTGTTCGTAACATCTTGATCTTGGATTTGAACGGTGGAGATCGGATTTGGAGGCTCGTAGCATCTGATTTCGAGCCTCAAACAGCAGCTTCGTTTTGTGGATTATACTCTTTCTTCAATTGATTAGTTGTTGCTCTTGTTGCTATTGTTGCTCCGTGTTTGGCCCTTGTTGTGTAGCTAATTTGGAGAACTTTTTGTAACCCTCTTATTGTTATAGTGGAGCTTCTTGGATCTTTGTGATCCCGTGGTTTTTACCTTCGATTTGAAGGGTTTTCCACGTTAAAATTTGGTGTTCTTTATCTTCTTTATTTTCGGATTTGCCTCTTCCTCGACATAACAGTGGTATCAGAGCCTTGGTTATTTATCCGGGTTATTACAGAATTGAGGCGAATATGAGCAAGATGGTATGTTTAAATGGGAGAAATTATAATGTTTGGAGAAGCAGGATGAAAGACTTGTTGTTCGTGAAGAAGATGCATCTACCCGTTTTTTCAGCTCATAAACCCGAGAGTATATTCGATGAAGATTGGGATTTCGAGCACCAACAAGTATGCGGATATATACGGCAATGGGTTGAAGATAATGTTCGCAACCATATTGTGAACGAGATACATGCGAGACCATTGTGGGAAAAGCTAGAGACTCTTTATGCTTCAAAAACCGGGAACAACAAATTGTTTCTGCTAAAGCAATTGATGACCTTTAAATACAAGGAAGGCAGCCCTATCCTTGATCACATAAATAATTTTTAGGGCGTCCTTGATCAGCTATCTGGAATGGGGGTTAATTTTGATGATGAGATACAAGGACTTTGGCTTCTTAATACTCTGCCAGACTCTTGGGAAACTCTTCGTGTTTCTTTGATAAATTCAGCTCCTGGAGGTAAGGTGACCATGGAATATGCCAAGAGTGGTGTGTTGAACGAGGAAGTAAGGAGAAAATTGCAGGGTTCATCCTCACAAGCAGATATCTTGGTTACAGAAGACCGGGGGAGAGATAGAACAAGAGGCTCAAGGAATAGAGGTAAAAGTAGAAGTAAGTCAAGGTCCAAATACTATAATGTTACATGCAACCACTGTGGCAAGAAAGGACACATCAAAAGGTTTTGCCGCAAGTTGAATCAAGACACTAGAGAAGGAAAGAAAGTTGAAAATAATGAGACTGCTATTGTTCAAGATGACCTTCTTTTTGCGTATGATGAAAACGTCATCAATTTGGTATCCCATGAGACGAGCTGGATAGTAGATTCTGGAGCTACCTCACATGTCACACTAAGAAAAGATTTTTTCTCATCTTATACTCATGTTGATTCTGGAGTGTTAAAGATGGGCAATGCCAGTGAAGTTAAGGTGTTTGGTGTTGGCACAGTTTATTTGAAAACTAATAATGGTTCAACGTTAGTTCTTCAAGATGTGAAGCATGCTCCAGACTTTCCTTTCAATTTGATCTCCGCAGGAAGATTAGACGATGAAGGTTACCATAATCTCTCTTTAACGGCCAATGGAAGCTCACCAGTAGTGGCTCGAGGAGTCAAGTCTGGTCAATTATATGTGACACAAGGCTCTATTCTTAATGACTCAATAAATCTGGTGGAAAGTGTTAGTTTGTTAGAATTGTGGCATCGAAGATTGAGTCATATGAGTGAGAGAGGGATTGCGTGTTTGGCTAAGAAAAGTTTGTTTTCTTGAGTAAAACAAGCAAAGCTACAAAGGTGCATACATTGTTTAGCTGGCAAACAGAAAAGGGTTTCCTTTCATAGCCATCCTCCCTCAAGAAAGCCTGATTTATTAGAGCTAGTACACTCTGATTTGTGTGGTCCTTTTAAAGTAAAGTCAAAAGGTGGTGCACTTTACTTTGTGACCTTCATTGATGATCATTCTCGTAAGCTCTGGGTGTATCCTTTGAAATCTAAAGATCAAGCACTTGGCGTGTTTAAGGAATTTCAGGCCTTAGCTGACAGACAGACAGGGAAGAAATTAAAATGTATTCGCACTGACAATGGTGGTGAATATTGTGGTCCCTTTGATAACTATTGCAAGGAACAAGGAATTCGTCATCAGAAAACTCCGCCCAAGACGCCTCAATTGAACGGTTTGGCAGAGAGGATGAATAGAACTCTAGTTGAGAGAGTTAGATGCTTACTTTCAGAGGCTAAACTTCCAAATACATTTTGGGCGGAAGCACTTAACACTGTTGCCTATGTTATCAATTTGTCTCCTGCTGTTGCTTTGGATGGTGATGTCCCAAACAGAGTTTGGTTTGCCAAAGATGTTTCTTATGATCACCTGAGAGCTTTTGGGTGTAAAGCTTGTGTGTATATTCCTAAAGATGAGAGATCGAAACTGGATGTCAAAACTAAGCAGTGCATCTTTATCGGTTATGGTCAAGATGAGTTTGGGTATCGTTTTTATGATCCAGTTGATAATAAACTTATTAGAAGTCGTGATGCAATATTCTTTGAAGACCAAACTATTGAAGATATTGACAAAGCTGAGAAGATAGATTCTCAGAGTAATGAGAGCTTAGTTGATATTGATCCAGTTTCAATTGCTAAGGCACCTATTGCACATGAAGGAACCCAAGACAATGATGGAGATAGTGATCAAGATCAAAATGATCATCATGGTGTAGATGTTATGGATGCTCCAGTTGATGAAGTTGTGGTTGATCAGCAACCAATTCCTGCACAGGTAACTACTACGAATGCTCCTGAAACCTCTCTTAGAAGATCTACAAGGGAGAAGCAAAAATCCATGCGCTATCCTCCTGATGAGTATGTACTTTTGACTGACATGGGAGAACTTGAGAATTATGATGAAGCCATGCAAGATAATCACAAAGATCATTGGATCGAAGCGAGTGGAAGATGAGATGA